TTAACAAAAACAATGTCCATCTTTTTTATACCTTAAAAAAAGATAACAAACAAAACAAAAAAAGGTTGGAGGGACTAAATAAGCGGGGAATAGAGTTAAGTGCTTGCTCCAGCTTTGGCTGCTGGGCAGTGAATTAGGCTTTCTAACTCAGGGAAACACACTCCTTTTTGTTCTGGAACAACAATCTTTGAACAGCTTTCGGAGTGTCCAGTGCTGCCGTGCATCAGCGGCCAGTTCCTCCCGTCTGCCCACTGAGATGTTAGTGAGGAAAAACGGCCACCAGAGGGCAGTGCGGACTTCCTTTCTCAAGCTCCAGTGTCATCTCAGGCTTCTCAGTTCTTTACGTGTTATTGTTTGTGATTTATATTTCTAATAGGATTTTTTTTCTGTTTGTATTCATTTTCCCCTGATTGGCTTCTTATTTATATTCCCTCTCTTGGTTAGTGTTCGTCATTATTCTTGCTTTTGTCTTTACTCTTTTGTCTTTCCTCCGTTGATTTCTGTTTGTATTTTCATCATTTCTTTTGCCTGTTTTGTCAGATCCTTTGGTTTGATCTTTGATCCACAACACTGGTCTGTTGGTGATTAGTCTGAGCAGCAATATTTCGCTCCTTCATGTCCTCTGCTGTTGGTCTCCTGTTGGTCAGCAGCCATGTCCCACTGACCGCACTGTTGTGAGTCTGTGCAGGTGCTGAGGATGCACATGTCACCATTAACTCCATTATTACAGAGTGGGAATAAGATAAGATAAGATAAGATAAGATAAGATAAGAGCTTTATTGATCTCACAGTGGAGAAATTCACTGGTCACATATCGGTTAGGGTACAAAAGGAGGAAAAGGTGCATAAAGTACATAATATAATAATAATAATATAATAATATGGCAGCACTGGCTAAAGAAGACAGTTGGCCCACATTCACAGAAGAAGTTAAAAGAAGACTGACCACAGAGACAACACCGTCCCCTGGAGCACTTTCTACCCTCTTAAAGGCTAATATAGCCAAATGGAGGGGATATGTTACCAAACGTCACCATCATTGGTCTCTCTCTAACAATTTAGATGCCAAATGAAGCTTCAAATCTGTTTCTCAAAACAATCTAATAATGCTTCGTACTGGTTCAAATCCCCACAAAGGAAGGGTTGATCATGTGTTTCAGCAGCTTTTCTGGGTCCATGTTCTGCACACTGGGTTTGTGGGTGTAATTGAGGACAACACAGAAACCGTAAGCTCTCAAAACAGTTTAGCACCATGTGCAGAATAATATGGACAACACATGGATCAGTAAGGAGTATAATATGCGCTTTTTTCCTGGAATGTTAATGAGTGTGGGAGTGTGTGTGTGTTCGTGTGTGTGTATGTATGAAACAGACTTGATCACTTTAAGTTGCATCCTCACAACCTATTTTTAAAATATTGATAAACACTAATGTTATACTCCACAATTCGCTTCAAAGACGAATTACTTGTGTCTTTTGTTTCTGTATTCATACACATGATACACTAAAAACCCATTATTTAAAATTTAATACAATTAAGAACTCTACACGAGTTGAATTAGTCACATTTCAACACTAAATTTTTTATATTGCACACCACATTAACCATTTAGTATCTAAAATGTGATTTGAAAAGAAGCCTATCCAAGTTAGAAATAACCATTTCCAACTCTCAAACCCGTTTCAACAACTAAAAGTTAAAACCAATATCCAGTCCATAATTGTCTGGCTACAGTGGCAAGTGCTTTGTCGTGTGAGCAATGTGGAGCTCAGATTAGATACACATGTGTAAAGAGGAGCGAATAACTTCAAATAATTACTGAGCTTTTTTTGTTTCTCCACAAGGATAAATAGCATTATTCGTGACGTTGCATGTCAATGAGATTCTTCATTTGCCTTTGATTTTAGCCTCAGCACCAGGGCTCTTCTTCAGTTTTCGGGCTTCTCAGCGTTTGCTGTCAGACTTTGCCAGACCCCGGATCCCAAAGGATTGGTAGTTTGGATCAAATGATCAGAGTAAACTATTCTATCTGTAAAACACATGGCCAGTCAGTCACCGCTCGCTTTTATTCTTATTGTCTAAAAAGAAGTACATGCCATAGAAAATTGAAGATTTTATCCATCAGGGCAACAACCGGAGCAACTGTTGGCTGTGCACCAATCAGAATAAAAATGATAGAAACAAAAGCTAACGGGAGTTTAGTAATTTACAATGAGAGGGTTCATTTACAGAGATTAAAATAGATCTCTGATTCTGTAGGTATCAGAATGGGAGAAGCAATTAGAGTTTGCACATTAAAAATCAATCGGAAATGTGACCAGAAACCTTTGTGACATCCATCGATGCGAACTGGAAATGTGAATTAAAAACCTACGTGTTCAAACAGTAAACTCCACATAAGAGGACAGTGTTTCTGTTGACTTTATTGCTGTGAAATATGAAACTACTTCTGTGATCTGTGTGTTGGATCTGAATGATCTTCACAGTTTAAGACATTAATCAAATTCACCAACCAATGAGGAAGTTGGCAGTCTCTATTGGTCATCATTCTAACTGAGTCTAAACTACTTTTTCTGGAATATTTGTTGATATAAAGCTACAGCTACACCGACAGACCACAAAGATAAAGTCCATTCAGTTTCTGTTCCAGTTTGCTGTTGTCTTTAGTCATTTTCTCTCCCACATTTGTCTCTGTTTCCTTCCTCATAACGGTTTTTCCTTTGGGCTTTAATTGATGGTCAGCAATTAGATATATTATATTACAGGCTCTGGAAATAGATGAACTGTAAGTTTAGCATGTTGACAACCAAGATAGAATTGAACAATTTTCCATTGGACTCATTTTGCAAACCTCTTACTTCCAAGTCATGTTGAAAGTGAAATACTTGGTAAATTTGAGATCACTGAGAGATTGAAAAGCCTACTTTAAAACTGAGAGGATCCTGTTCTTTGGTTTCTCTCATTTGTTCTATTAGCCTGCACTTTGAGAAGATCGTCACTTATTCATCATCATTTATTTCCCTTTAATTCACCAGCTCAATAACAAAAGGCAGGGACGGTACTATGTTGTTTATCTTGAATTGTTTTTGCTTTGTTGATACATTTTTAACCGAAGATGCTGTGAAACTTTAAACACTGACATTTTGCGGTAAATCCTTAAAACCGTCTTATTCATTCCCACATGAACACCAGCTGATAATGTGTTAAACACATTTCTGATTGGTTTTTAAGTTGTCGCCGATAAAACTGTCTTAAATACACACAATTCAGTGAAATGTGCTTTTCACTACACAAATCAGTGGTCGTGTGAACATGCTGGTTTCTCCTGAGTTCCAGATCAGAGCGAGGAGCCAGTGGTCACCAGATGTGGAGCATTGTTTGCTGTGTATTAGCAGGCCGGGAACACAGGGAAAGGCATGAAAATATGGCATGTGTTGTTCATTCAAGGCATTTTTTCTGCTCAAATTGAACTTTACCAAAGATGTCAACTCAAATAACATTTGACAAACTATGTAGTGTGAAGCCGGGTGATGGTCTTTCTCAGAGGCACCAGCTAAGCATAGTTTGTGGAACATTCAGATTTTTGAGCGCTTTTTTATATTCGTGAAATGGGTCACTAAAAAAAAAAGAGAGGAGAGGAAAGGAGAAAGCTTGAGCAGTAAAAAGCAGGTAACCAACCGCTGCATTTGTGGAGAGAAAACAAAGAGCCATGGTAAAGGATAACTTATGATGAATAGAAATAATAAATACAGGAGAGAATTGAAAAAACACAAACCTTTCATTACAACCAAAGCATGAGTCTTATTTATTATCAACACCTTCTCGGCCTGACGAGGTTTTTTAAAAAGGCCATCGACCTGCTGCAGTGAGCGGGCTGTGGACAGAAACCACCACCAGGGGGCAGCAAATAAACCCTGAACAGACAGGTAGGCCTCTTTGAATGAGCACCTTTGGGTAACTTAGGCTAACTAAAACTATCCCCTCAGTCTCAACAAGCCCTTTACCTGTGTTTTGCACCCTGTTATGACACCCTGGTGTTTAGGAGCTCTTAACTTCAAGTCCAGTTTTAGTTCTTCAGTCTTTCATGCTTAGTTTTCCTTTATTTGTATTTGTTTTTCTGAAGCATCTATGAGAATAGAAAAATAGACTTAAACCTCATAGTTTTTAAACAAGAGTTAAAGCTCCTTTAAATCACAAGTTGTTTGTGATGTAACTTTTGAGCTGATGAATAAGTCAAATATCTATTTTTTGGTTTCAAAATCCACTAGAAGAGCAGAAATATTCACAGAGATAGCCATTTGTTTTGCATTTGGATCTGTCAGTAATATCAAATGCAAGCCAAATAATGGATGAAGCATATAAAGTGCAAACACTGGGAAAACCTTTTTATCCTGTATTTAGCACATTTAAAACTGATATTCACACCATGGAAATTTGCTTCCAACCAAATCCAAAAAGTTCTCTGAACTTTTATACTAACTTGTCATTTTACTAAATTGTTGAATCTTTAAAAAGTAATGCTAATGGAGTTGGATATTGGGTCATTTTAAGGTAAATTACGTTTTTTTACGTGATGGCCAAGGGACCATATATATGTCCTCCAGACATGGAGCTAGTGGTGTGTATACTCCCTCCTGAGAAATGAGCTCTTATCTGGGGTTTATATCTATAAGGGATAGGACCTAATCCATTGAATCCCTAGACTACAGTGGAACAGGTAGTTTTTCCTCAAATAGGAACAATGGGTTTATATTTTTATTGAAAGTTATCTTTGCAATTTGGTTCTGAATGTCCAACTAAATTACAAAACTGATTCAAATAAATAACTTAATAAAGGCATAATTGGTTGAAAACTTGTAAAAGCATTTTATTTTAGATTTCAGACATCGGTGTTTGCCATAAACTAAGAGGTCAAAATAAAAAATAAGAAAATTACATGGTAATGAAAAACTTACTTTTATAAAAATATAAATATATGTATAGTGTACATATAAATATATGTGTAGTATATACCTCACAGCTAACTGCTGTTATTATTGATCAATAGAAGAGCATACTAATAATCCCAGGTTTCCTGTCAGTACTGTGGATGTTACTGGGATTACAGGTTTGAGTCCTATATGTTTGACAGATCTGTTCATGGAAATGAAGGAGCTTCATCCCACAGCACAGTGAGTCACGGAGTTCCTCAGAGTTCTGTCCCTGGACCAGTTAATTTAATTTTATATACACTTTGATTAGGTGGCATTATTAGACAGCTTGGCTTAAATATCCACCTTTATTCTCACAATAGATGTCTATAAAACCAAGTGAAACGAATCAGTTAGTTCAACTTCAAGCCTTTCTTAAAGGCAAACAGACCGAGATACATTTTCTGCTTCTGAGTTCAGACAAAACTGCAGCTGTTTGGACCTGAGCGTCTCTGTGAAGAATTCTACAGTTTTACAATAGTTCTGGATGGCCCGTCTTTGGCCTCCAGCCCTACAGTTAGCACAGTTAGCAACCTTTGGGCTACTTTTGGTCGCTGTCATATAAAACAGGTTTCTAGGACTGCCTTCTTTCACCTTGGTAAGATCTCTAAAATGAGGAGCACCCTGTCTCAGACTGATGCAGAAAAACACATAAATGCATATTTGTTCACGGTTGGACTTCTGTAATTCTTTCATTATTTAAAGAATTCTCAAAAGCCTCCATTTGGTCCAAAATGCCAGAGCTAGAGAGATCATATTTCTCCAGATTTAGCTTCCCTTCAGAGGCTCCCTGTTACAGTCAGAGGAATACAATTCTGCTCCCCCTGATGCCAGTTTGGGTTCTGGGAGCAGACACATCTAAAGATACTTAAAGATGAGATTTAAACTTAGGGGGGCAGCTGTGGTGGCTCTGAACGACCCCCCCGTTGTGCTGCAGGCTGCTGTAGGACCTCCCGTACGGATCTCTCCTCATTCTGCCCCCTTTGTCCTTCTCTTAATGTACTCGTGACATTACTGTGCCATTAACTTGTGTTTCTGGATGAGCTGTTGAGATTTTTTTGACCTTTTTTTGGCCTCTCAAAACCCAGTTTCTGGAGGCAGGGGGCTTTCTCCTCAGTCTGGTTCTGCCAGAAGTTTCTTAAATAGTGCAAACATTTTTTTCATAGTCGGGGAAATTTTAGAAAACTACTTTTTTATGAAGTCCTCAGTGTACTGCTGACCTGTAATGGGTTAGATTAAATCTTGAAGTGCACAGATATGGCATTTCTTTCAATTTAGAACTATATGAATAGGATTAGATTCAATCAAATAAAAAAGAATAGACTAGTTAAGTAGACTTAGAAAACAGATTAAAAATGTCAAAGTATCTTGACAAAAAAGTGTGTGACATCCTTTATTTTTAAAAGTGTCCTGTGCCTTTTAAAAATAGATTTCTAAGACTGGGTGTTTTCTCAATCTGCAGAGAAATCCTGTCAGTTTCCATCTCAATGCAACTCTAAACACCACCATGGGATTCAGTCTCTGGTTCATCAGATGTGTGTCTGAAAACCAAAAGCCACTTCGGCCATCATCAGATTTAGATATTCAATCAAACAGTAAAGCGTGTCAGTTTTTCTAATGAGTTTTCTGACATTAAACTCAAACGTAGCCCCCATAAAAAAAGCTAATTTCTTTGTTTAAAAAGAAATGGGTGCCGTTTCCATAAAAAAAAAAAGTTTGTCATATAATAACGGATTTTTCTTTTCATGACCGTAAGTTTGTACCTACATTTCTACTAAACAGAAACATCTCAATCCTGGAAATGTTTGTAATAGAATATGTCAACAAATATCTCATTTCATATTCATCAATAGTACATTATTCATATAGTTTTCAGAGACTTTCTGTAGCTCAATAAAAACAGAAAAAACTTCTATGTTGTGTAATTGTTTGTGTGTCTTTCTCCCATATTGAATCCACAGCCAACAAACTGACCCGCGCGTCAAACTGAGGTGAGGGCGTGTGTATTAAACACTTTCAGCGTAAAATAAGGATGAAAATAAATAACAGTTTAAATAAAAGTCCAGTTCAAAATGTGCGCTTTGGTTTTAAAAGCAGGGATATTTCCCTCTGTGCATCCGTGTTTAGGAAGCCTCCTCCACAATCATAGAGCACTTTACTTTTAAAAAGTGTTCTGAAGGAATTAAAAATCCTGCGCGAGGCGTGCTCTCAGTTTCCTGAAGCGCGCGCTGTTCAGATCAATATTCTGGATTCAGAAGGGCCTTAAAAAACTCAGCTGCTCAAGAAAGTGATGAGTTGTATTCTTTTTGAGAAACTACTTAAATATGGCTATATTTTCTTTTTCTTCACATCCGCAAAATCTCACATCCAAAACCCACGTGCCATTTAAACTGTTTTTGGAGGAAGAAGCTCATCACGCGCCACCCGCAGCGCACACAAAAAGGCCCATTTTTTATAGAACTATGCCTTTAAAAAAACACAACGTTTTCTTATTTGTCTTTGCATTTTTAACTGTACGATTTAAATGAATGTAGGTGTAGTTTGGAGTGAAAAATGGTCCAATTTCTAAAGGAGGAACGGATTCTGCTCCCGGAAGGTCCTGATGCCGCTCCTGACTCATGCGTAACTGTAGGTCCCCCCACTAGGACATTTTTAGCCACCAATAACAAAAGCAAACGTGTAAAGATTTAAGATTTCGTGTTCGATTAAAACCAAAAGAAAACAAAACAGCAAATACATTTGATCCGCCACCAATTTCTTCTTGGAGCGATTTTAGAAATTCAAAATACCCAAACTGTAAATCATTCAAAAGCACGAAGTCCCAATAGCCTACATTAACATATCATTTAAAAAAAGAAGAAAACAAAAATCATATTTAAAAAGGCTGGAAAAGCAAAAATGTTGCTAAGAAATTGTAGGAAAAGTTTCCCCCAATAGACTCACCCTCTGACATAGGGGGCAATGTCGGGTCCGAACGGCTGGAAAGGGACAGACCTGGAGCTGATGGTCACCGTTTCTGGACAGGCCGGGGGCCTTTTGCGCACCGACGACACGCGCACTTCACTGTGGCGACGCGGGAGGCTTCTCGCACCTTCTCACAGGAGTGGGTTGTTTATTTCTATAAAGTATCGCGCATGGAAGCTGCTGTAAAGGAATATTTCGTGATTCAAAACTGATCCCACTCCAAACCCGCCTTTCGGGCCATTTGTCTGCTGCCCCCCCGCCACGGTCCGTGACCTTGAACTTGAGCTGGTGACATTTGTCTGCCTTCAGTCTGCTCTCCCCAGACCATTCTCACCCCGCGTGCGCGTTAAACCTGACCTTGACCCTCAGAGGCCGTGCAGCAGACAAAGGCTGTCTGGTTCCGGCTGTCCGGGGCCCTGCAGGGCCCAGACCCGAACCCTGCACGTTTAGCCAGGTCCAGGTCTCCTGCTCCCTATGCTTTGTTCCTTTAGTAAAGTGGCCTTTAAGTCAGGGTTGAATATTAAGAGCTTCTAATTGGCTCCTTTGTTTCACCAGACGCACAGCTCCTGAATGGTGTTAAGCACTACAGACTGAGAATGTCAGAAAATAGTCTGGGAGAGCGTAATCGCTCCTTTGAAAAAACCTGAATATATCGATAAGTATTGGTATTGATAAATGAAAGAAGATGTGAAGACAAAGGCAGTCGGACTTGGCTTAAAATGTCTGAATCTTTATGGGATTTTTAACGTTTCTGCTGGGGTTCAAAGTGAATAGCCTGTTCTCCCACTTGCGTTGTTTCTTTTTTCTTTTATTTTAAAGTTGAGTTGAAATATCACCGTAACGGGCTGGAGGTGTCACCCTCACCCCGGTACTGGTTCAAATATGGATCACAGAGGCACTCAAATGCGCCACCGCGCTCAGTTGGAATATTCACCCGGAGCCTCATAGAGGTTTGGCGCATGCACGTTCCTTCTTCTGGGCTATTTTCCAGACCAAGTGAGCGCACAATGTTTCCTGCGCAAACGCAGAAAAAAAGCTTTTATTTGTCCGAATCTGCTGATGCCTTCTCCGGTTACAGCTAAAGCCTCATTAGAATGACCGTCCCAAAGGGGTCTGCCCCCCCCCCCTCACCCCCTCCCCCGACTGCACTGAACTCACACGCACAGAAACATACACGTGATCTTTGATTTTCATCCAATGGACAGTCCTGGTTTGGTCCCGGGCGCTGGTTGCGTCAGGCCCGGGGCTGGATGTGTAAGGTCCAGCTCCCCGCCGGCACGCGCAGTCTGAGCGCGCTCCCTGAATGAGAGGTGCAGCCACGCACTGCCTCCGTGCTGTGAACGCACAGCTCCATACGAGTCCATACACCGCACGAGTTAAGAGGAACCATCCCACACACCACCAGCGGTCCCTCTCCCTAGTGCCGGAGCGGGCAGCCTGTGAGTGGCGGGGGTCAGACGGAGCCCGGGCCGGTAAAGGCGCGCATATGACATCCTCTTTGGTCCTCAGTCCTCGCTGGCCGGCGGAAACTATCATGTTCGTGTATGACAACAACCTGGAGGACCTGAACAAGAACATGGAGGGTCTGGTGGGGAGCGGGAACTTCGCCACTGCGGCGAGCCAGTGCCGCAACCTGATGGCGCACTCCGCGGCCGCCGCCGCTCTCGGGGGGCACGCGTCCGGCCTGGTGCACCCCTCGGCCAGCTATTCCCCGACGGACGTGTCCGCGCCAGGCGCCGGGGACACGGCCGCCTCCTCGGGGAAGCAGTGCGGCCCGTGCCCGGCCGTGGCCGTGCCGCACCAGAGCGCGCCCGCGTCTTCCGCGCTGCCCTACAGCTACTTCGGGAACGGCTACTACCCCTGCAGGATGAGCCGGGGCGCTCTCAAATCGTGCACCCAGGCGGCCGGAGCCGCCCTGAGCTCCCAGTATATGGACACCACCGTGAATCCCGACGAGTATCCCAACCACCGGACCAAGGAGTTCGCTTTCTACCACGGCTATGCCAGCCCCTACCAGTCAATGGCCAGTTATCTGGACATGTCGGTGGTCCAGACGCTGGGCACAGCCGAGCCACGCCATGACACGCTGCTCCCCATGGACAACTACCAGTCTTGGGCTCTGACCAACGGCTGGGGGGGGCAGATGTACTGCTCTAAGGACCAGGCGCAAGCCGGACATCTTTGGAAGTCCGCTTTGGCTGGTAAATCCTCTGCCTTTTACGCCATAGCATCATGAAACTAGTAAAACTTTGACTATTTTGGATGACTTAATAATCTGCTGCAAGACACATTTTCATTTGGAAGAAATTATACTTTTATTTTAGCATTCAGCTGATCTCATTAGGAATAATTAAAGGATAGTTAAACACAATCTGCAACTCGTGTGGCACCACGCAGCAGTACCATGCCGGGGCTTGAGGCTGATGTGAATCAGCCCAATTACATCCGATTTTACAAGGTTCTAAGTAGGACAAGCTGTTAGAACCCTAACGTAGTGAGACTGATGTGGCCCTCGGTGGTCACTCTGCTGGTGACTGTTATCTGAGCTCTTCTCTGCCAGCCTCACGGAGGCCAACTGAGCTAATGAGGCACACACGAAATAACAGTAATAATGATAATGAAAATGACTGACGCAATGATAATGGTAACCCCGTTGGCGTGCATGCGCATCCAACAGACTCAATTGTTTTAAATGTACTTACCGCACAAGGTGATGCAAAAAAAACCTGAACAAAAAAAAAACACAAAGAGGTATTTGTGTCTACTTTTACCTTTTTTGGGTCGAACAAATGTATGGGAGAAATACGATATTGAACAGGCCGTGTTTGTTTTAAGATCCAGTTATATTGAAAAACTATATATCCTGTATATATATATATACACACACAGGTGAAATGGTTCCGATAGTAGTAATAGTATGTCTGAATTAGCTCAGGTGAGATGAAAAGCAGTACATATACAGACACACACACACACACACACACACACACACACACATATATATATATAAATAAATATGAATGTATGTGTATATATCCTTATATATATACTTTTACTTTTATATACGTTTATATTTTCATATATCCAATATACATGACAAAAAATATTCTGTCTATGTTTGGAATAAATCTCTTTTTTTATTTTACAGATGTGGTGGCCCACCAGCACGACGGCGCATCTTTCCGGCGCGGCAGGAAGAAACGCATTCCCTACACCAAGGTCCAGCTAAAGGAGTTGGAGAAAGAATATGCAGCCAACAAGTTCATCACCAAAGACAAGAGGAGGAAGATCTCCGTCGCGACCAACCTATCGGAGCGGCAGATAACGATTTGGTTCCAGAACCGGCGGGTGAAGGAGAAGAAGTTCGTGGCCAAAGTCAAGAGCAGCGCGCCGTAGCTGGAGGTTCAGGTCTCAGCTGAACCACAGCTCAAACTGAACTGAAATAAACGACACACGACTGGACATTTGTTTGGATTGTACGCCACAACGGGGAAAAGACCGTGAAAGAAACCACGAACGAGTAAAAGGAAAGGAATTAACCAAAGCCCTGCTGGTGAATGTCCCTCTCAAAGGAACTCTGTAAATACAGCCCTTTCTGGCCTGCTATGATATAACTGCTTATTCTGTGTGTCCCTCTTACCCTGCGGTGCCCCACAGCTCTTGGCCTCTCCGTATTCTTAATACCGCCAAACACCTAAATGTTGCGGAGTATTTAATGAATCAATTTAACCGACACATCATTCCACAGGCCTCATGTAATTATCAGGTCTGAAAGCGGCACATTTGAATTTCTGGGGTGTAATTCATGTAATCAGCAAAGGAAACTAAAAAAATAAAATAAAAGAAATGGAAGCGCAAAAAAAAAGAGTTAACCAAAACGCGCTGGACTGTAACTTAACGGATCTGGACTTTTTGTCTTTCTGAGCCAGACCTCCAGCTGGACAGCTGTCCTTCTCCTGTGGTCACTTCAGGACCCTCAGTGCGGCTTCTTAACTCACCAAAGTGTCATTTATTTGCCATTTACTGCAAACAAAAAAGTGGAATTCTGCGCGGAAACTGAAATTTAACACATGGCTTTTCCGTTTAAAACAAAGTAGAAAAGATGAGACCGTAGTCCCTGTTTTTGTAAGCCTTATTCACATGTAAATAAATCTAATTCTAGTCCAAATCTGATTAATTCTGCCACTTTCTTAATGTCCTGCACGTTTTAGTCTAGATAGGCCTATACGCGCGTTTCCGTGTAAATATGTAATCTTTCATTAAGGTGAGGATTGAAATCTATTTGGAAAAGTACAATCCCCTATCCCGCTGTTATGATATGCTGCGTTATGCGTTTTTCTGCATGTGTCCTGCATATTCTCCTGTTTGTGTGTTCTGTGCATGTGTTTGGGACAGAAGGAGAACTCTGGGGATTTTGCATAACTTATCAAAGACAGTTTTTTTGACACATTCCTGGAAACTCACCGCCGGGACCTCTTTTGTACGTTTTCTGCAGAGTGTTTGAAAGACGTCGGGGACTTTTTAAAATCCATCCGGCTCCCATTCTGCCCATTTAGGCCTTTAAGTCTGTTTGTGTGATCTGTGTGGGAAGCCCGCTCTGAACCGGGTCTGGTGCTCACGGGCCTTTTCTTTGGATATGCCTGACATTTAAAGTGGAAATAAACTATAAATTCAAAGGAAGTGATAGATCTGAGACCCAAGTAAATTCATTTCTGCTTTTCTTTTACTCGTTGAAGTGGTTGTTGACAGCAAAAGCTTATCCATTAGTAAATGTCAAGACGCCCAACGTTGTGCTTTAAATTCTCAATAATAAGAATAATAACCATAATAATTATAATAATAATAATAATAATGATAATAACAATAATAATTATAATAATAATAATAATTATTATTATTATAATAATAATAATTATAATTATAATAAATATTTCAACTACTATAAAAACCTAACGGTTCAGAAAGTTCATTGGGTTGACAATGACACTTGAATAAACTTTGAAAACCTTTAACACAAAGCGCTAATATAGAAAAGGGTGCATTAATACAGAGTAAAGACTAAGAATCCATAAATCAGAACTTCAACCGGAGGCTGCTGGACTCATAGGAGGACCGCTCTAAACTGGCCCGGCCAAGTTCAGGACAGCTGACCGGAGGTCCGTGACCACCGGATCCGGGTCTGGGTTTGGATCTGGGTCTGGGTCTGGATCTGGGTCTGGATCTGGGTCTGGATCTGGATCTGGGTCTGGATCTGGGTCTGGATCTGGGTCTGGATCTGGGTCTGGGTCTGGGTCTGGGTCTGGGTCTGGGTCTGGGTCTGGGTCTGGGTCTGG